AAATCAGTTTACATTCTACTAAATTTCAAAGCTGCATGTTATACATACATTCAAATATTAAATCACTAAATACCAATCTACACATATTAATAATATATTAAGAATAATATTGCAAACAATAGCCGAATATAATTATAAAAAATATTAATCGTTGATAACAATTTTCGATAGCGAAAATAAAAGTCAGATCATCAACAATGATAATTATAAAAAAGAATTTTAATAATAATGATAACCAGAGAAAATAATTATGATTATTTCATATTGTAAATAAATGACATGAAATTTCTATTCATAAAATTTTCAGCCATTAATAATGACTGACAGAGGCAAAATTAAAATCAGGCCATCGGCAATGGAAATTATAAAAAGAAACGTTAACAGTAATGTTAACCAAAGAAAGAAAAATTGTTATCATTCCATATTATAAATAAATAAAATTACATTGCCATCGTTCTATCAAATTTAATTAGAAAAAATTTTCATCATTAATAATAGCTGCCATTAGCCAAAATAAAAATCAGACCACCGATAATGAAAATTATGATAAGTATTTAGGAATAAAGATAACAAGAAAAAAATTCTGGTTACTCGATATTGTAAATAAGTGAAATAAAATTACAACGATCAGTAGCCGAACGAAATCCTAAGCGAAAGAGAGTGGAGATTCGATCGATCGAAATAAGAGCAAACCGTTATGGAAGACAATTTTCGAGTAACTTTGACGTTTCGGTCTATCGAATTTAGGAGAGGAGAGCAGAGAAGAGAGGAGAAAGAGAAAGAGAACGATCAAGGAGGAGTCCTTATAAGGACGAGTGTCCTTAACCCGCTTCCTCGCGGTACCGTAAACGTTGTCTCCGCGTAATACACCGGTGACGAGCAAACGAGCAAAAGAGCAAAAGAAGAAAAGAGAAAGAGCCAGTTTCACTGGAGACTCGGTGCCTTTTATAGTCAACGCGCGGTTTCGGTCTTCTTAGGAAAGAAACCGAACTCTGACGAAACCGCACAGATTCCGGGATACGGATTCACTCGATATGACGCGACGCCGACGCCGCAACGACGCCACACCGACGCTCCTCCGTCAACGCACCCTTATCTTTCCGTCTTTTAAATCTTTACATTCGTATTCACCGTTCGGAATAAATATCTCCTAAACCTACCAGCCTTTAATCTACTTAATTTCACTTAATTTCAAATTAACAATGAAATGTAAACTAAATAAACATGTAGATTCTTCACTTTGATGAAAATCAACCTTAAATTAACTTGCGGTAAGAAATTCTTAAACCAGTCTGGCTTTGGAAGTTTCAACTTAATTCCATATATGGAATGTTTCTTTCTGTACGAATACTATGACGCTTTGGTATTGGGATGAATTTTTATGACGTGTCTGTTGGAACTCTAGATTGTATAACAGTATGCACATATGCGTTTCCAGCACCCACGATTGGTTGTACAGTGTCAGCGTGTTGACGTTAGACATACGGGTTTGATAGGCAAATTCTAGCTAACTAATTCTAAAGCTTAAAAAATTCCTAAATTCCCCATTTTTTGTATCGCCCAATTTTTAAATCTATAAATTCTCAATTTTCCAAATCTTACAATTTATCTGCAAATTATCAAATTTATGAACATTTTTTTTCTGTAAACATATTAATGCCAATTTTTAACATTTTATGTAAGAAAAATTGACTACTTTAAAAGAACAATGTAATACTATATATAGATACAGAAATCTAGGGATATACAGACATGGATATCTAGGGATGAATAAGCACATACATGTAGTGATATGGTGAATAAGAATATAGATATCTGGGGATATAGTCAATAAGAATACAGATATCTAGGGATATAGTCAATAAGAATACTGATATCTAGGGATATAGTCAATAAAAATACAGATATCTAGAAAAAACTGAATAAGGGTATTTAGGTATATAGTAATACAAAAAACTAGGAATTTAAAGATTTAAAAATATAGAGATCTAGGGACATAAGAATTTAGAAATATCCTGATACAAAAATCTAAAGATATACTAATATACAGATCTAGAAATATAAATAGCTGTAGCTGTAGAAATTTAAAAAACTGAGTATGAAAATATCAGGATCTCGAGATTTAAGAATATAAAATAATCGTGGTACTTGTTACAATGCCAAAAAATATAATCCTGTAACAGGTAGTTAAAACATGTACAAAAATATAATGTATTTTACACTGTTCATATAAGTACACTCCAGTCGAAGATATCATGTGTAACGTCAACGTCGGTAAAAGCGTCGACATGACCGATTTGTTAAGGAATTTACCGATCGAATCTCGATTCGAAAGGTTTCGATGATTTTTCGGTACATCGGATCGGAAGATACGACGCACGCTTACGTATCACGTATCGAAAGAAGAAAAATCAGCGCGTACGAGGCACACGCATGACGTCATTCTCTGCTGTCCTAGAATGCTTGCCATACGTAAGCAGATATTTCTATATCGTAAGGTCCAATAAAAACCGCGATTCTTTTAATTAATATCGAACGTCGAAAGACCGCGAGATCCTCGGACACGACCTCGCTCGATGGTTTATCAAATTATTTCGAAAACGACCGACTCCTGCCGCTCGCGAGGCGACGCCTCTTGAACGTCTTTCAGCTTCTGTCAAATTAAAATTCCTCTTTCGAATTCCCTCAAAAAACTTCATCTTCGTATTTCTTCCTATCTCTAAAATTTTCTTCTTGTTTTTTAAACAATTTTACTATTTTAAACGTTATTACGTTAAAATTTGGGTGATTCAAATTAATTATCGAGATCACATGCGTTTACAACATAACCTTCGAAGAGAACTCTAAAAATTACGGTGAGTCAATGTTACGTGGAAAAGCCACAATCGTTATCAGTCCTCATGATAAGTGCTCAAGAAACGAACCGCAGTACAACTATCGATTGATTCTACCTTTTAAGAATTTATTTCGATATTTGGATCTGTCGAAATAGATAATCCCGTGAGTTTTTCTTGGATTTTCGTGAAACGTCATCAACGTCGTTCCCGCGTGCGACCCCTGACTACAGACAGTTACACCAAAATGGCTGACAGTTTATATCTTTTATTTCAAAATTTCGTGTCGGGAATGACACACTCGTTATCAGCAGATTCCTCAGCACGGTTCAACGAACAAAAACAAAGCGCGAAAATACTGTGGAATTTGTTTAATTCTAACCGACATCAAGGTATTTAGTTTGTTATATCGATTATAATAATACGATGCGCCGAAAGTAATCGTAGCGGTTATAGATCACTCGACCGATCGAACGAAACTTTTTCTTGTAATTGTCTCTAAACGCATATTACGTTCAAATGTCATAATTATATCCTCTGTGTAATTTGTAATTTAATTTCACGTTTAAGCATGTTCTTTAATTCAAAGTGATAGTTGAAATCGCGTGTAAGATAATAATTTTATTCGTTAATAATTTATGAATAAAAATCAAATTTCTTTCGGCAAAGATAATTTTTTATCTATTTCATACTATTTTTAGTTATCATCATGTAACGGTTTATTTTTACTTTTTTGAGAATAAAGAGTGATGCCATGTTTTCGAGAAAAAAAGAAGATACTTTGTAGGTTATTATCATTGATGACAGAGTTCGAAAGATACGACGATAAGCAGACGCGATTTAACGAATGAAACAGTAACGCCAGAAATAGATAATTCTAAGTCGAAGTATATGAGAAAAAAAAAAACTTGATCGCAACAACGGGAGATAATCAAATTCAGCGAGAGCCTTGAGTTAGGTCAGTGCTTTGTTTACGGACGCGTTTGATTGGTTTTCGATCTTTCGCTTTCTAACACTATCAAACAATCGAAAAAATAAAAAACGTATTGATCGATCCTTCTACGGTTACCGGGATTATTAAAATCATGTAATGCTTGAGAAATGTAATTATGATAAATTTTTTTAAGAGTTTACCCTTCAAATTTATTAACTCTTGCAGAAAGCAGTATTTAAAATTATCATTCATATCATATTTCTAATGAAATAATGTACATTATCTGTATAAATTATTTTCCTTTCAGACGTAAATGAATGAAGCTACTGCGTCCATAAAGAGTACACGAACTGGGATGCAAATAAGGTCATTTAATTTGCGTATAATGAAATACAACAAAAATTGGTACCAACCGACCTTATAAGTTTCTGCCGTTACATTATACTATTATATGGCATAACAGATATACTTATTTATATAAATTTTTTACACACGATAATTATAACATAAACAGAACTTTTACTATAAGGAATTTTAAGATTTCATTGAATTAGTATAGCTGTGCTCAAAGGTTTTTCTTTCAATTTGTTTGAAATATCAATGTCCTTATCTAAAAATATCTATCAGGATCTTTATAAAAATAAGATAACTGTAATCAGTTTGTTCTATGTCAGTTATATAATTAACTTTACTTTTATTAATGGTAATTTAATTAACTGTATTTTGTAAGCTTGAACTGGTTCTATCATAAAAACTCTAGATAATAAAACTTAGCTATTTACCAACAGATCAACTTCATGAATAATTTCAACCTTGATCTTATGCTATTATCTTTGTACAGACAAAATAAGCACTAACTAAATAAAAGAAATGAAACAAGAAAAAGAATCATTTTAATCTTTCAACCACTCCTGAAATATTTTCTTCTTGTGAATGAGACAAAGCTTTAGATAACAAAACTTAGCCATTTAACAAGAGATAAGCCTTACAAATAATTTTTAACCTGTTCCATATAGCTATTGTCTTAATAAAAACATAGCAAGAACTAACAAATAAAGATAAAGAAAGAATAATCTTTTCAATAATTCCATTGAAAATTTCACTCGTTTCTGAATTATTTTGTACTTATTAAGACAAAAGCGGTAAGATAATAAATCTGTCAATGGGGAAACACCCTTAAGTTTTGCTTAACGATGTTAACCAAGAAATATAATGAAATCTGTCAAACTCACGTAAATCAGCCCAGAGTAGTATCTGTCTTTGAGGTTATGCAGTACGGAGGCTTCGTTCAGGCACGTTAATTCAGCCATATCTTCGACTTTATCGAATTTCGGTGGATTCATTTTTTGAATATCATCTTTTGCAACGAGAACCCGTTTTCCAGTTTCGGCGATCTCCACCTCAACCTCGTCGCCCCGTTCACCCTTTATCCCAGCTGCGACGAAACCCTGGGTTTCGTGCGGAACCCAAACGAGCTTCTTTTGTGTCCATTCCGCCTGTGTCGCGGGATCGTTGAAATTATTCCTGTCAACGGAAAGAAACCGCAATTCGGGATCCGAATGATCCACCCTCGAGTCAACGTCCGCCATTTTTGTTTTCGAGATCACGAGCAGCTCTTCGAGCCGGCTTCAGGGACGAGCGATTCCAAGGACGATCCTCGATAGACTGAACTCTTCGTAGCAAGGACGCACATGTAACTATCGAACACTCCTTTTCCCGTTGTTCCCGACCGTTTATCGTACGCTGTTGGTTCCAGTAACTTCAGCTCGATGAGATTTCGACGATTCGCCGTCCGTTCTCCTTCGAGGCACCGTGTTCTTCTACCACCTTCAACGCTCTTCGAGATTGTTTTCTTTCTCGTTCTTCACGGCCATCTTCTTTCCTCCTTATGTTACGAACGATGGGTGGGGGAGCGAATGTGATTTGAAGGTATGCTGTATAGTAGCGCTCGTATCGCACGAATGACGTGTTTCCAATGAAATTTCATTGGCTGGGAGCCCGCGTGCGTTGACCAATCAACCGATAGCAAATCTTTGTCTGTATGAAAACGTGAACTGCTGTTTTATCATTTATCAACTATGCCCGCGTAGCTTATCTGTCGTAAGTTTAAATAACTACAAATGTAGCGTCCGAATATAACAATAATCAACTGTTAGTAGCAAATTGTATAATTTATACATAGATATGCAGATATATTCGCAGTGGAATGTCGTAGAGCTTGGCAAATGACTCCATAATTTTTACTTCTAGTTTCGTTGACGTTTTGAATGATTGTATTGTTCTCGAATCAAAATTCACGATTTTGGTTCGTTTGATTAAACCGTCATTTTATGCAAACTATATGTAAGATTTTGAAAATAAAATGCAACGTCAGAAAAAAAGTATCTTTAGACAAGTTATTACGACAAATGACAAATATTTTTACAGATTTGGTCGTTACATGTCTATATATGTATGCAATAAATGTTTTCGTTGAAAACAACTGTCCGTTATTTCAACTGCTATTCATAGGTTATATACAACTTTCACGCACATGCGCGATCGAAATCATGGAATAAATAATAAATGCTATAAAATACGTTGTACATTTTTATTGTTTCTATTAGAACTGTGACTAAAACCTGAATTTTCCAATAATTACTCTAGTTGACATTACTTTTGATAATATAATTAATTCTACAAATTGAACTGCTGAATTTCACTATTACTTTTCTTTTGCCACAAACAAATATCGAGTAAAAGTCGTATCGCAACGTATGACCTTACCATTGCCGTAACTAAGTGGGGATCAGGGTGGGACTGCTACCCTCCTTTAAACGTGGGTTGGGCTTCCCCAACTTCCAATTTTCCAAATTCCCGAATTTCTAAATATTCAAAAATCTGTTTGTCACGGCAGGCATGGATCATTGACACCAATAATACAGTTAAGAGACCTGATTCATTCTGTACAAAAATGATAGTTACGCCAATGAACTAGTTCCCCTCCGGTTGTCGAACTGGCCACGTGGGCACAGTCACCCTTTAGGAAGGGCCGTACCCTTTAGGCACTTTTAGCATGGATGACTAGCATGGATGTGCCGTTGACGAAATCAAACTTAACCCCTAATGAGGATGACCACTTCGTATGTTGATATTTAATAAAAAAAGAGAGAGACACCTGTATATAGAATGATTCAAAACTATATCATGTACTCAAATTTCATAAAATTGACTATAGTTAGTTAGATTGTATATGTATAAGGGAGGATTATCTTCCTAACACACGCTATCTTTAGGAAAATTACCAAACGAGTAATGATAGATTATTCAAAAATGATAATTATCACTTTTGCCGTGTAGAATTTCAATAAATCTTGTATGTAACATTACTGGAACTTGGTTCTTCATTGGATGTCATAGTTAATAGATGTATAGAGATATATCACACAATTGAATTGTACTACAATCAAGACACTGATAAGTGCTGTGAGTTTTATTGTTATAGTTTTTATTTTATGTTTATCTTATTTATACTTGTTTCTGATTTTATACAGGAAATTGTAACGGATCAGAGTAGTTTAGTAATCAACAAGTAAGAGTGATAGATAATTTAATAAGCAAAATAATTTTGTAAAATATGTATTACGAGGAAAATTCAAAGTCAAATTGCAATGACCATGATGTAAGAATAAACATATATAATTGTTTAACAGTCAGAATTTTATCTGTCCAAAGGCATAATTAAACAATCTCTTTCTAGGCAATGGTTGTTGATTTTCGAAGTGATACTTTAACAAAACCAACGAAGAAAATGAGAGAAGCAATGTTTAATGCTGAAGTAGGAGATGACGTTTTTGATGAAGATCCAACAGTAAAAAGTATTAACATTTGTCTTTCACAAATTCTAAACTTGCTGCATGAATTATGGGATAATAATTTAAATACATATTTCATATATTTTTATTCTTAAATTGTAAATTTTAGTATTACAAGAGAAAGCTGCTAAAATGGTTGGGATGGAAGCTGCATTATTTGTATCATCTGGTACTATGGGAAATTTAATTGCTAGTAAGTACAGAATTATAATAAGTATGTTAATTAGTTTTAGAAAATGAATATGAATGATATGTGAAATTTTATATGAAATCATAGTAATGAATCACTGTAATGTGCGGGGCTGTCAGGCATTCTGTGGTGAATCTGCTCATTGTTTATTACATGAGCAGTGTGGTGCATCCCAACTCGCAGGAGTAGGTCTACGGCCATTACGAAATAACGATGATGGCACGTTCAATATTCATGAACTTGAGTCAAAACTTCATAAAGATAGAGATCATGAACCTATTTCCAAACTGGTTCTTGTGGAGAATACATTAAATGGAAAAATTATTCCACAAAATTGGATCAAGCAGCTAGTATCATTTTGCAAAGAACACAGTTTAAAATTACATATGGATGGAGCTAGATTATGGAACGCATCCATTGGATCTAACAGACCAGCCAAAGAGATTGTTTCTGGTTTTGATTCTGTTAGCTTTTGTCTCAGCAAAGCTTTAGGTATTTCCTTTTCACTTTCTTTTTTATGTATCATATTTTTCCCACAGTTACATTTATTTATCGGTTTTAATACCAAAGTTCTGACACTATGTATTCATTTTTTGAGGTCCCTATTCATGGTAGAATATTTTTCATGTAACCACTTCATATTAGCATAAATCTGGTTTTTTAAAACAAATATTTTAATTTAGGTGCTCCTGCTGGTTCCCTTCTTTGTGGAAGTAAAGAATTCATCATCAATGCGAGAAGAGTGAGAAAAGTACTTGGTGGTGGTATGAGACAAGTTGGTATTCTAGCTGCAGCTGGACTTATAGCTTTAGAAAATATTCCAGCTTTAAAAGAAGATCATAGAAGAGCCTCTATTCTTGCTTCTTCAATAAATGAAATGCAATCAAAAGTATTCTCTGTCGATTTAAATACTGTACAAACAAACATGGTTTTTGTAAAAGTTGATTCCAATATTGTTCCCGCAACGACATTTGCTAAATGTTTGCGAGAACACGATGATGACAAGATTGTCGTGAAGTGTCTAGCTGTAAACAATTGGATAGCTAGATTTGTATTTTCTTTTGAAATTACAGACGATGAATTAACATTGGCTATTAAGAAAATTAAACGCGTTATTTCACAATTAGATCCTAACCTATAATTGTTATTGTTACGTGTATCCGTAGTAATATGTTACTATTGACTACAGAATAACTGTAATCATTGGTATTAGTAAAAATGATCTGTTATTTAAACTGACGCTATTTCTTTTTTTTATCCTCACTTCATGAACAAATACAGGAAAGTAACAAACTTCTTTTACGTTTCAAATTGCTAAATTTTGAAATTATATGGAAAGCAATGCACACAATAAAACATCACTGACTGTATGCATCTGGCGTCACTAAACTGTCAATGTACATTCAAGTGCACATTTGCTTTTTTTAAGAAAAATGGCAGCAAAATATATCAGGTTCCTATTATCCGTAATAATATTAGCACATTGACAGGAATTTTGTCAAATTTACACAAGAATTTGATAGATTATCAATTTTCGTACATGCATGTTAACTTTTAACAGTAAACTATTTTACTGAGCACTTTACGTTTCGGGAAGGCAATTTTAAGCACAGCATCAAAAGCTAACGTTTTTCATAAACGAATTTCACATTTATAATGGCGGTAACACGATGATTTAATATGTAAAAAAAATATAAGAGACAATACTTTATGTTAAATTAATTAATTTAGAAAGATGAACGCATTTTGAAAGCTATATTCGTAGAGTGTAGTTTCTAATTTATATTTTTGTGCGCTTCGTCTGAAAACTGTGGCGACACTTGGGCGACCACCACGCAACAGACGGGACGAAAGAAAACTATAGACCGTATCTCAGCGCTCGATGTCGATAACGATCATCGATTATACGATAAAACAATTGAAAGAGAATCATTGGCTGAAGTAGTCACTGATTAATTTTTTTTGTGGAGAATAAATAGCTATTTAGCAATAGATACCTAGAAGTAATGGAATTAAATTTTGTAGGTAAATTTTATTTTAATTGTTCCTCCGACCCCTTATCATCTATAAAAGATTCTAACATTAATTCGTAAAGATTTTACAAATAATTTAACGCGTACTGTCCTTTATTAGGGTAATAAAAAAAATATTAAATGAATTTGATCATTAAATAGAACATGTGGCATCATCTAGCGGTAGAATGAAGGAACTAAGGAAACTAGTGTTACCGCTGTATGTAGTTAACCTGTAGTCAGTAAATCGTCGCTGATAAGTTCCACATACACGGTTTTTATAGCTGAGAATACTATATTCGACATTGGAGATTTGTGCTTATAATTATCCAATGTACCTGTAGCCTTCGTCTTTTGTCACGAGCACCAGGAATCCTTTCTAGGTGGGCACTTGTCATGCGACGGGCTATCATTCGCTGATATTTTGTAATATAACGTTGCCCAAACAGCACCTCCCATTGCACATCATATTCTCCTGATACCAAAATTCCAAAATCCGGACCTTACATCCGAAATATGATCCTGCCACCTAACCGGCACGAAATTTTAAAAAGCCTCGTACGAAATATTAATAAGCTTTTGTTAAAAATAATTAAGATACGCCCTAAATGAGAAGTGGTGAAAGTAAAGAAAAGTTTGTCAATATTCATTTTGTATTTGTTGCTAAATAACAAACCCAGCAGAATAAAAATTTTTAAAAACAAAGTCGTTCGCTATTCATTCTGTAATGAATCATTGAGCGAGCGAGCCGAAGGCGAGCGAAACTCTTATACTTGACATTGCAACTTCTTTGTCCGCGTTTTTCTTTTGCACCACTCAACTAATTCTTGTCAAATTTTGCATGCACATATGTATGTACATCCAGATGGACATAGAAAAAAAAAAATTTTAATCGGATTTGCCACGAACGAATAATCACCGAAACAACTGATCCTAAAAAGTGAGGGTTCGAACACGCACATAAGGAAAATAAAAAAATGAATATTTCGGCACTTTGACGACGTAACATGGTTCCTGAGGCATTTAGAAACAAATTTCTATTAGGGTTTGATGCGTTTTGATGCCTAATAAAGCCAGGAAATCAATTTTTGTAAAATCAATTTTTGTCGAATTCGGTCCAAAACGGCACAGGTGGCGCCATCTTGCGGCGAGCGGCGGAACTACAAAAAACTAAAATTTCGATTTTCCCGAAAACTAGTGATTTTTAAGTACTTCTGAGAGTCAGAAATCAATCTGTGACCTCTCTGGAACCTATATGATGTCACAAGAACCTTCTAAAAGCGCTAGAAAGGAAAATAGAAAAATAGTCCAAAACATGGACTAAAAAATTGGCGTCCATCTAGCGGTGAAAGTTGGAACTACAAAAACATAAAAATGCGATTTTCTCGAAAATTAGCGAACTTTGAGTACTTCCGAGGCTTAGAAAGTGTTATGTGATCGCATTAGAAGCAAAATAATGCAACAACAACTTCCTAAAAGCTTTAATAAGGAAAATAAAAAAAATGTCATTTTATGGTGAAAATTTGTGGCGCCATCTAGCGGCGAAACTACGAACTAAACTGAAAAAACGTATGTCCAAACACGCAGTAAAGGGGTCAAATAAAAGTTGATTTCCAGGGCTTAATAGGCAAAAAAATGAATAACTTATTCAACAGAAATTGCTTTAAAATGTTTTCTGTTTAATTAGATATGCATTTTTTTGCCTATTAGGTTCAGAAAATCAATTTTTATTTGACTTCTTTCTGCGTGTTCGGACATACGGTTTTTCAGTTTGGTTCGCAGTTTCGCCACTAGATGGCGCCACAAATTTTCTCTATAAAATGACATTTTTTTTATTTTCTTTATTAAAGCCTTTAGGAAGCTTTTATTGCATTATTTTGCTTCTAATGCGATCACATAACACTTCTTTATTAATGCTTTTAGGAAAATTTTATTGCTTTATTTTGCTTCCAATGCGATCACATAACACTTTCTGAGCCTCACAAGTACTCAAAGTTCGCTAATATTCGAGAAAATCGCAATTTTATATTTTTGTAGTTCCAACTTTCACCGCTAGATGGACGCTAATTTTTTAGTCCATGAAATGGACTATTTTTCTATTTTCTTTAATAATGGTCCTAACAGGATATAACTATATAGCGCTTTTAGGAGACTCTTGTGGCATTATATAAGTTCTAGAGAGGTCACAGAACAATTTCTGACCCTCAGAAGTACTGAAGATTTGCTAGTTTTCGAGAAAATCGAAATTTTAGTTTTTTGTAGTTCCGCCGCTCGCCGCTAGATGGCGCCACCTGTACCGTTTTGGACGTAGTTCCGTCGCTTGCCGCTAGATGGCGCCACATGTACCGTTTTGTACCGAATTCTACAAAAATTGATTTCCTGGCTTTATTAGGCATCAAAACGCATCAAACCCTAATAGAAATTTGTTTCTAAATACCTCAGGAACCATGTTACGTCGTCAAAGTACCGAAATATTGCACTTTGCATGTGCAGTAGAATAGACGTAGGCGGCTCATGTACGTATCGCAATGCTGACACAAAATAATTAATTACTCATTACCTGCACATTATTTATGAGCTTTTATGATCGAACCATGTAAATAATGCATTGCTGTCCATTCTTTAATCATAAAAGTTCATAAACTGTGCTCAGAAAGTGAGTAATTAACGATCTTGCATACTAATTGTCGTGTATATTCCTCCTACGCGCCGCCCGCGCATGCCACGAAGTAATAATTACCGAAAAACCATATCCTCGTAGACTTTAATACAAAATTGAATTTGCTCGCGCTTATGTACTTGACTTTTCAACTTTTTTGTCCACGCTTCTCTTTTGCACCACTCAACCAATTCAACCGGATGACACGGTTGATTATTTTTGCTTTAGCGTGAAATTTACTCGCTCGCTCAACATTGTTAGGTTAGGCGCGGAGTGCCTAATCAAACAGACCTAGTTAATTCAAGAATACTTATTAATTTATTTATTATTAAAATATAGGAAGATAATTCCGATATGAACGGTGCAGGTAACGTCATCGAGCGGCAGAATACGCGAACTAACAAATCCCAGCTAACCTAACTTATAAATGTTTATTATGTACACGTGAGTGTTGTACAAAAAATAATTCAATAAAATGAGTTTATTCGTAATAAACAGGTAAACTTAATGCGTAAATTATATGTACTTTTGAGTACTTAAAAACAGTATCATGATTTTATTTACAAAACAATTTTATTACACATACTTTCATAGTTATTTTATATTTTAATAGGTATGAGGGAGAGAAAGAGTCAGAGGCGAAAACCGAAAATAAACATTTATCAGAATTATTGAAAAGAATAGAAGAACGTAAAAGGGAAAGAAATCTTAAAAAGAAAAACGTTGTACAAGATGATAATGAGCAGGATGCAGAGAAAAGTGCCTGCAAAAGAAAGAAAAAGAAAAAGGAGGTAGATAATGAATCTGTGGTAGGAAATGAATCTGTAGTAAAAAATGGATCTCCCGTAGAAAATGAATCTGTGGTAGAAAATGTTCGCATTAGTGAAGGTGGTAAAGAGAATAATGTTGAAACCGAGTCCTCGAGTCCACAAAAATCACATAAGAAGAAAAAGAAAAAGAAGAAAGAAAGGAATCTTGATGACACCAAAAATGACATAAATGGTGAAAGTATTGAAGCTGATGTTGAAAAATTAGCAATAACAAATATTGATAATCAAAATGATCAATCAGTAAATACATCAGTAAATGTAAATAGTGAGAAGAAAACTGATTTTATGGTGCTCGGGGTTAAACATGATAAGAAGAAGCAAGAAGTTAAGAGAGTATTACCAGACTGGTTAGCTAATCCAAATATCATATCAAATGATTTAAACAATGGTCCAAGCTTGGAGAGCTTGAATTCTGTTTTAGATACTAAACTTATTCAAATTTTAAAGACAAATGGTATCAATAAATTATTTCCTGTTCAAGCTAGTATGATATCTTGGTTATTGAAGTGCAATGAAGATAAACAGCAGGGATGGTGGTTAAGAGATACGTGCGTATCTGCTCCTACAGGCAGTGGTATGAGCTCATAGAATGATGCATGACAGAACTTTGGGCTTTCCTGCTTTGTCTTTTGTCCCTTCAAATAGATTGTAACAAAATGGGATAATTATAACTAATCTAAAAGGAAGGGACACAAAGTAAAGAAAGTCCACAGCTTTCTTAGACAGAACCAAACAATGCCTGTTAATATCCATAGTATTAAATTTGATTTATAATACTATGATTACTTTTTAGGTAAAACTTTGGCGTATGTTTTACCAATCGTGCACATATTACAATCTCGGTTAGTGCCAAAGATACGGTGCTTGGTTGTTGTGCCAGTTCAAGAGCTAGCTGCACAAGTTTATAAGGTGATGGTTGCATATACATCACACACAAACCTTACAGTTGCTTTGCTTTCTGGAGCATCTTCGTTTCAACAAGAACAAAGTACCATTTTAAGAACGAGTATGTGTATAATTTAGAAATTCTAATATCGCATACTAGATTTAATTTTCAACTTATTTGTTTATTTAAGATGCGAGAGGGGAAAGTGTTTCCGCAGTGGATATAGTTGTCGCAACGCCAGGCCGATTAATAGATCACATTTTGAAAACACCAGAATTTTCTTTAAGCGATTTACGATTTCTAGTTATTGACGAAGCAGACCGGGTTACAGACTGGATAGATTATCTTCCCGAACCTCATAATCATACTCCACGACTAACGCTCTCCAACATGCGTTCCAGGTTACATTTCCTTTATTGCTAAATTTTTATGTTAACTTATGAAAATGCATACTTTACATTTTTTATACATTCATTTTTAAATAGCAAACCACCCGTGCAAAAACTGCTGTTCAGTGCAACCTTATCGCAAGATCCAAAGAAACTGAGTCATCTACGACTATTTCAACCCGTGCTGTTTACGACCGTTTTAGTAACAGACAACGATAACGACGTCAATTTAGATACAGAAGCGGGTAATTACATAGGTCGTTATACAGGTCCTGAAGGATTGACAGAACGTGCAGTAGAATGTACAATGGAGTACAAACCTCTCGCTTTATATGATTTATTAACAAGGAATAACACAATTATTAAGACGCTAATATTCACGAATTCTGGAGAATCCGCTCATAGGTTAACCATTCTACTTGGGTCGTTGTTAGCCGTAAAGAATGTAACAGTTGGGACACTTTCGGCACAGCTCAAACCCAAAGAACGTGAAAACGTACTCGGAAAGTTTATTACTGGTGAAATCCAAATGTACGTAGTATCAACTGTCAGGCTTTACATTTATTTTATTATCTTAGTTTATTTAGATGTCAAAGTGATTTTCATCTAGATTATTCAAATTATTTTATTGTATCCACATTAGGTATTTTTTTGTCAAATGTTTAATGAAATTTAATTACATTTGCAGACTTATAAGCTCAGACGCGCTAGCCAGAGGCATGGACATTCCAGATGTAGGGTTGGTCATATCTTACGACCTTCCTAAGCACATTAAAGGATATATTCACAGAGCTGGAAGAACAGGTCGCGCCGGAAAAACTGGCATAGTGATTTCAATTTTGACACCGAAGCAAGTTGGACTATTTAAAAGTATGTTGAGTAACGTTCACAAAGCGGTACCACACATTGAAAAATTGGAGTTGGATTCTATCGCAAGTGCAGTAGACTATCCGAGTCATATCAAGAATTTGAAAGAAACTCTCGAAGAAGAGAAACAACGTGATTTGTCGCGAACGAAGGCTGTTAAACGAATTCGATCGGTAGCTCAGGAGTGAAGAACATTTTTTATATGTAATTAACAACTAGAATAAATTGATTAAGCATGAAGTATGTGCATATTGGAATAACTGAAAATTTGTTGCTATTATGTCATTCGATTTTATAATGTATATTATAGTAAATTAAGTTAATAAAATTAATAGTGATTGAATAAAAAAAAAAAGGAACAAGTGGCGCCATCTCTCCAGCGAACAGGGTGAACTACACACTTTTGAAACTGCGATTTAATTAGTTCTCATCTTCTACCGCTAGATGGCGGAACATAAGACAGAAACCCTTAGGGTAATTAGAATTTGCCTAAGTATGGTTAAAAATTGATCGCCAAATTTTCTTGTGGCTGTTTTACCATCAAATCATAAGCTCAAATTTTTACGAACCGATCGAACTGCAATTTGCAAAATTTCAAGTTTTGAGACCTAAAAAACTCCTCGCGAGTTTATCTTTTGTTGATCATTTTATTTCTATGGAGGGAAACTTGAAACGCGATAAAGTAACATCGATAATAACATTTTATTGTCTGAAGTTAATAGTATCGTACATATACGCTCGTTCTTAACCGCAATTAATTCTATACATAATTTCCACATTTCCTTAATCACGCGTTATCCGTCATTTTTATAATTTTCTTCTTTTATAACTTCGATAAGTCATTGATATTTTTGATTTATAAAAGCTAAACGATCGTTCGTCGAAGAACCATTCGCGTACAGAGTTATATTCACCATTATTGCTGTTTGTACATATAAGTCGAATTTTTCGGTCACGTTTTTTTTTTAAACATAATTTACTTTTAAACGAAGTAAAACAATAGAATCATTTGGTCACACGTTTCTTCAAGAAACATAATTTACCCCTAAAGTAAAATAATAATTAAATACAAAATTTCAAGATATACAAGACAAATAGACGATGATCTATTTTTTTCGAAGGAAATAGTCAAAATTTTCGTTGTGAGAAGTCTAACGAACGAGCAAGTTTACATTCGCTTGATTTTAATACCATATCTTACGCGTAGATAAGTATTTAACGAGTGACTAAATATTTCGTTTTTTAGGACATTTTCCAAAACTCTGAACACTCATTGTTATTTACTTTTCAAAACCAAATAAGAGTTATTTTAAAATCAATCCTGATTCATGATCAATGATCAAATTCAAACTAAATTCTTCATTCTAAATTCCTTGATTTCAAAAAGTAAATAAAAATGAGTTCTCAAATTTTTGGAAACACCTTTAGTTTCAATACGTCGCGTTACGAGACCACTTAACGTTACATTATACAAAACGTAGTCTCGTTTAACGTTTCTATCGGACTATACATACAGTGGTCGAAAAAAGAATCTGCATACTCTTTCAAATAGAATAATTTTCTATTATTTAATTTGTAGTTATTAGGAGGGGGTCTTTTTATAGAAGTTTAGTAATTTAGTTTATTAGACGACGAGTGAATTTTAACGTTTCGGAATTTAGAAATTTGGAACTTAGGGAATTTGGGGATTTTGAAATTTAGGTTATTGGGAATTGGGATTTGTAGAAATTTGGGCTATTGGGAATTGGGGATTTGGGGTATTTGGGATTTGGGGTATTTGGGATTTGGGGTATTTGGGATTTGGGGTATTTGGGATTTGGGGTATTTGGGATTTGGGGTATTTGGGATTTGGGGTATTTGGGATTTGGGGTATTTGGGATTTGGGGTATTTGGGATTTGGGGTATTTGGGATTTGGGGTATTTGGGATTTGGGGTATTTGGGATTTGGGGTATTTGGGATTTGGGGTATTTGGGATTTGGGGTATTTGGGATTTGGGGTATTTGGGATTTGGGGTATTTGGGATTTGGGGTATTTGGGATTTGGGGTATTTGGGATTTGGGGTATTTGGGATTTGGGGTATTTGGGATTTGGGGTATTTGGGATTTGGGGTATTTGGGATTTGGGGTATTTGGGATTTGGGGTATTTGGGATTTGGGGTATTTGGGATTTGGGGTATTTGGGATTTGGGGTATTTGGGATTTGGGGTATTTGGGATTTGGGGTATTTGGGATTTGGGGTATTTGGGATTTGGGGTATTTGGGATTTGGGGTATTTGGGATTTGGGGTATTTGGGATTTGGGGTATTTGGGATTTGGGGTATTTGGGATTTGGGGTATTTGGGATTTGGGGTATTTGGGATTTGGGGTATTTGGGATTTGGGGTATTTGGGATTTGGGGTATTTGGGATTTGGGGTATTTGGGATTTGGGGTATTTGGGATTTGGGGTATTTGGGATTTGGGGTATTTGGGATTTGGGGTATTTGGGATTTGGGGTATTTGGGATTTGGGGTATTTGGGATTTGGGGTATTTGGGATTTGGGGTATTTGGGATTTGGGGTATTTGGGATTTGGGGTATTTGGGATTTGGGGTATTTGGGATTTGGGAATTTGGGATTTGGGAATTTGGGATTTGGGGAATTTGGGATTTGGGAATTTGGGATTTGAGAAATTTGGCATTTGGGGAATTTGGCATTCAGGGAATTTGGCATTTGGAAAATTTGACATTTAGGGAATTTGGCATTTGGGGGATTTGGGATCTAGAAAATTTTGGAACTAAGAAATTTGGCATCTGGGAAATTTGGGATATAGGGAATTTTGGAACTAGGAAATTTGGCATCTGGGGAATTTGGGATATAGAAAATTTTGGAACTATGAAATTTGGAATCTGGGGAATTTGAGATTTAGAAACTTTTGGAACTAGGAAGTTTTGGAACGAAGTAATTTGGGGTCTGGGGAAGTTAGGATCTAGGGAATTTGGGGAATTTTTAATTCGTAGAAATTGCGATTGAAGAAATTTGGTGACTTGAAAAGAATTTGTGCTTTGAGGAAGTTGAATTTTTAGGAATTTGAATATATGAAAGCTTGAGAATCTGGAAATTTGGACTCTTAAGAATTTAAATTTTTTGAAATCTGAGTTTGTAGGAATTTGGACATTTGCGAATCTAGGAGTTTGAGAATTTGGGAAATTGAATTTACGGGATTTTCCATTTTTCAGGAATTAGGTTTTTCGAGAATTTAGGTATTCTGAAACTGAAACCTCACAATTTTGACAATTTGTGCATTCAGTAATTTAATACTTCAAGAACCTAAGAAATTTGAAACTTAAACTTATCCAACAGAATATACAAATATAGAAGTTTAAAAAATATGAAACTGAAAGATCTCAAAGATGTCGATCCACAAATTCAAAAAACCAAAAAACACTAAAAAAATTTCTAGTCGTTTATCACAACATTAGAAAAAGTCACACTACGAAAGAGCACAGATATTCTTTTCGACCACTGCATACCTCGTGTCATAACATATGTATCATGTACACACAACTTAATACCTAATCATTCTTTTCTTAATCTCAGCACTTCCTCCTAGCCAACGTCAACGTTCGCTTCTCTATATTTTATATTTACACGTCGCACGCTCCCAGCGTATCGTTTTCTTCGCAACCGTATGTACATACTCAAAACATGGTCCTATATGATTCATATGTATCGTTGCACGTATACGCATTCTTTTTTTATGTCCATAAATTGGCCTCAGTATTTTTTTTTTGTTATTTTGATAGCGTAGCGACGTAATCGTAAGTAAGCGTTTTAGCATAACGATTAAAAGAATATCTAATAGGTACTGGTGTACCATATACCTTCTTTATCTAACTATCATATGTAGAATCTACAAAATTCGGTTCGCTTTTAGAAACTGAAGTAATGAGAGCTTTTCGTCGACTTGTTAGTATTTGTGTTCAGGGTCGCTTATGAAGTGTAGGTATACAAAAAATTGCGGTTGTGTTTGGTGGAAGTGAAACTTCTGACAGGTAGATATTTGGGGAGGCGTATAAGTGGATTTTTGAGGTGTTTGAAATTTTTGGAATTGGGAAATTTGGTGTTGGGAAATTTGGGAATTGGAAAATTTGAAAATTGAGAAATTTAGAAATTGGGAGAGTTGGGAATGGGAAATTTGGGAATTAGGAAATGTGGAAATGGGAAATTTGGGAATTGGAAAATTTGAAAATTGAGGACTGTGGAAATTGGGAAAGTTGGGAATGGGAAATTTGGGAATTAGCAAATATGGAAATTGGGAAAGTTAGAAATGGGAAATGTGGAAATTGGGAAAGTTAGAAATGGGAAATGTGGAAATTGGGAAATGTGGAAATTGGGAAATGTGAAAATTGGGAAAGTTGGAAATTGGGAAATGTAGAAATTGGGAAACGTAGAAATTGGGAAATGTAGAAATTGGGAAACGTAGAAATTGGGAAATGAGGAAACGGGGAAATGTGGAAATTGGGAAAGTTGAAAATGGGAAATGTGGAAATGGGAAATGAGGAAATTGGGAAATGTGGAAATGGGAAATGAGGAAATTGGGAAATGTGGAAATTGGAAAAAGTTGAAAATGGGAAATATAGAAATTGGGTAAGTTGAAAATGGGAAATGTGGAAATTGGAAAATGTGGAAATTAGGAAAGCTGGAAATGGAAAATTTGTGAATTGGGAAATGTAGAAATATACAAATTGAGAAATTTGAAAGTTTGAAAACGTATGTTAAAGATCTAAGTATTTGGAAAATCGCAGTAGAAGTTTCACTTCCAATCACCTAAACATATTTCCATTAACATAACACTTCCTAAATGTATTTTCACAAAATTTCCATGGTACAATACTATCAATATTTTTTTCAATATCCTCAATTACAAAAATCAAAATAAATTATAGTGTCAATATAAACGATTACAGTAAAAACATTCTTTGCATCAATCCTTGAAAATATCAGAAACCTCAATGGAGTTACAAGCATTTAGTAAGATGTTTCTAACGAGACTGGAACCGAACATGATTTTTTATCATAGGTATTATACTTATTGTCATTCGTTTTCTCGATCGAGCGAAATTCGTAATTACGTAGTATTCTCGCATTCGGTAATCAGAATTATGGTAACTTCGTATCCTAATTATGGTTAATGAATCCTTTCAAATTATTCCTATAATTTATGATGCAATCATCGAGGAAGCGCGAAATCGTAGCCCAATAACACCGGAGATACGAACGATCAAAAATAAATTGTTCGCGCGAGCAGTGTCTTTCATACCAATTTCAACAAGTACAAGTTAGGGTAACCATCGTTTCGATGATAATCGGTATTCTTCGTTATCGTTGTCGCCACTACCATTATACGTATATCGTCACTAATCGAAACGTATTGCGAAACTTTTATACAAACACGAACAGCCCTCTAGTAACTTGAGAATTCTCTAATCGAGGAATATACAGATACTATAATTTCAAATTTGGAAATTTAGAAATCGAGATAAATTCGAACATGGCTATCCAGAAATTGGGAAATATACGGTAATTTCAAATGTTCAAATTTGAAAATGAAGATACACGGTTGTAACGCTATTCACGATTTTTCTATCACTTGCCAAGAGAACAACCTGTTTTCAAAATTTGCTTTACTAATATCTATCGTGCACTTCATACCCTGCAAATATTGTTCTAAACTTTTTTTCGTAAGGTGGCTACAAGTAGGAGAAAAATCGTGAGTAGCGTTACAATACCCTGTATACAAACATGATAACTTCAAATATTTAACTAGAAATTTAAAAAGACAGTTTGGTAATTTAAGAATTTCAGAAATTTCCGAATTTAAAAATTTTTTAAAGTGACTTTCCACCTTCGAAATTGACGATTTATTTATACAACCTAATATTTACATTTGAATGAATTGATACAAGAAAGAAAGGAAATTTTTGACCACGTTAAAAAAACATCTTTTTGTTTAAACATCAATTAGCTTTTACAGAACATAGTTGATTGTTTAACTAGCGTAACTAGCGTTAAAAGACGTATCGTGTTATACCGATACGAGTGGGTCCATTTCGCGTCTTAATTACGTTTATCGGTTACCATATACGTATATTGTTACTTCATTGTACTTTTGGTTTCTATTACGTTGCGGGATAACACGAATGTTTCGAAGGTTCTTATTCTGTATCATGCAGCGTTGGCACGCTTTTTGAAAATCGTAATAGTATTATTTATATTACTCGCGACACCTGTACATCGTACAACGTAAGTACAATATTCGTTACATATAACAAGAACGTTCTCATAATTTTTAAGTTGATCAGCGATTAAATGATAGGACATCGTTGGATATTTAACTGGTAATATTAATTGTTAATTAATAATAATTATACTTGTATATTAATGTTAATTATACATTATTCAATATGAAATTATAATTAAATGCAATAATAGAACAGGTTTGGAAATTTATATCGACACTTCTCTGTATTTCATAATTTAATTTTATAGTATTATATTTGATATAATATTGTGGTTAATTATTATAATTTTCATAATTATAAATATTAGTTGCAATATTATGTTAAATATAATACTACAAGGTTGTCATTTTATAGCAATTATAAGAATAAATATTCAGTTGTAATGACTGCTGTTTGTTAATTATAATTACAATTATTATTTATATTGTATTAAATATAATAGTATACAGTTACAATTTTATAATCATAAAAACAAACGTAGTCGTTTATAATTGTTATGTTATAATCATAATTACTCATCATATCATGTTTAATATAATATTACACAGTTATAATTTTATAATAATTATAAGCACAAATATATACAATTATAATTATTATAACTACAATCATTCATTATAATATCATATTAAATACAATATTGCCATTATTATAACTACAATTATCAGTTGTAACATCTTGTTCAAAATAGTGCTATAAGATTATAATTTTTTAATAACTATTGTAATAAACATATTCAAGTTATGAGACAAATTTTCAAACCTGTCCTATCTTAATTTGTCCATTTTATAAGTCAAAAAATTTGCTACAAAATGGTCACAAAATGGTTACAAAGTGACTTTACAAAATGGCAGTAATAACCTCTTCGTAAAATTAAAATTAAAATTTCTGTACATCAAATTAAATAAAACAGCAAAATAAAAATATTGGGGATGTTCTATCATTTTCTCGCGAACTGTATGATAAGAAAACACGTTTTTCGAATTTCATTCGGAATCGTTCGTAGACCTATACACATGGCCATTTTTAAATCTAGTTTTCACGCGAGCGATAATTTCTTAATATCATTTCCGTATTTACAACGTTTCTCGTTAAGGAAAACATTTTCGTATTGGTCGCGTCGCGATAACTGTACCGAGTTAAATCGAAGGAAAGGAAGACCTATTTGGAATGTACAACTCGTTCAAATTGTACCAACCACGAGAACTTGTTTCTCGTTGAATTTTTCTCGTTAATATCAAATACCAGGATATTTGTCATAGAATTTCGAACATACAGTGGTCCTCGACAATAAAGTTTCTATATAAAAGGTATTCAAAGAAAAATAAATAAAAATTAAAACATCTTCAAAGAACTAACAAAATATTATACTGGATATATAAATATTTCCTAATGCAACTTGAAGTAGCATATAAATCACACAGAATTTTATAAAAGTTTGTTTTCTCACAAATACTGTTTAGAATTCTTGTTACACAAATTCAATAAAATTCAATAAGTCAATAAGTATAAAGGAATGAATTTAACAAAAAATAATTTACTTAACAATTTTAACAAATTACTGTCAAGTATTCATGATACTAATCATATAATAAGAATGTTCTCATATTTTTATATTTATAATGAAGACGAATCACATTGTCAATTTTTACTTTTATCGTTATCCTTTATTTTCAATATTTATTTTCTGCTTCTATTGTTGATCGTTATCATGCAAATAAGTAATTATTTATTTACTGAATTAAGCATCGTCTTCCTTTGAACTTATTGAGATTAATTCTGTACACGTAAAGAAATTGTACATGATAGAAATTTTTTTAAGTTCATAAAATGGCGTCGAGGACCACAGCGACACCAACTAGGTTCACGTCCGAAAATCTTCGCGTTCGACCATTACTTTATTCTTTTCGTCGTTAAAATATCTTGGTTAACGATTTAAAGGATAAATATCATGGTTGAGAATAATTGGCAGAGAAGTATCGTGATCGACGTGGAATGATGTTTGGAATTAGCGGTGTTTATGATCACCCAAGGTGGGGACAAAGATGGCAACACCAACGGCCTCTCCGTTCCATGACCTTCCTGGAAAGTACTTCCGGTCATTATTTGCGTGGTACTAAAATCCTCGTTTCCGGACGAATCGAACTCGTCGAAAGCGTTCCCGTGTATTCTCCTGCTGTTGCTGTTCTTCTTCTTCCCCTTCGGCACGGATTTCTTTCGTGGTTTCACGTCGATATTTTTTACGAAGCTGCTGGGAGTCGATTTCGCCACGAGATGAAGCTCTAAACAATAAAATGTATGAGTTATTTTAAACTGATGGATACGAAGTACATGTGTATGTGTAGGTTTGTATATTGAGGGGATTGAGAGAAAATTGCGACTGGGGGAAAGAAATGGGAAAATTGAAACATTTGGCAATTTGTGGATGTGGAGATTTGTGAGATGTGCAGGATTTGAGAATTTTAATTCTAAATTTAGGGAATTTGAGGAATCAAGAATTTAGGAATGAAGGACATTAGAATTTTGGGGACTTGAGGATTTGGGAAATTTGGAATTTAAGAGTTTGGTAGTTTAGAAGTTTCGAGGGTAGGAAATTTTCATATTTTAGGACTGAAGAATTTGGAATTATTAAAATTTAGTAATGTAGAAATTTGGAAACATAGAAATTGAGAGATGTGAGAATTTGGAAATTGGAAATTTAGAAATTAGGAAATGTGGAAATTGGGAAATTTAGAAATTAGAAAATGTGGAAATTGGGAAATTTAGAAATTAGGAAATATGGAAATTGAGAAAGCTGGAAATGTGAAATTTGGGAATTGGAAAATGTAGAAAATGGGAAATATGAAAATTTGGAAGAGTGGTAATTTGGAAGTGTAGAAATTTAGAAATGTGAAAACTTAAACATTCAGAATTTTAAGAATATAAAATCTAGAAACATTAGAATTCATGAATTCAGAAATTTAATCTAAATTTAATTTAATAACATTCGCACATAAATTAACAATAAAATTTGTAAGATATATTTACCTTGCAAACGTACAACACCATCAGCTTTCCCAAGTGCATTGGCGGACGAGCAAAAGTATTCTCCAAGGTCTCTTTTTTCCAAGGAATTCACGGTAAGATTCATCAGCAACGAATAATCGTTTAATGGGTATTCCGATATCGTGTATTTCTCGCTCGGTAGCAATTTTTCCCCTGAAATTCGAAACAAAGTAATCGTATTATTTATATACTTCTGCAATGTTATTCTTTAATTTTATCTCCAAACGATTCTACACATTTCTTTCTGTGTTTCGTAAACGAATTCGTGATCAATTTCATTTCATTTCATTTCATTTTTATTCTCAATTTTTATTTTCATTCGTAATTATTCTTGTGAATAATATAATTCGTGGGGCTTCTGTAATTATTAATTACCTGTATTTCTGTACCACGTGTTCATCGCTTGTGGAGATGCTTCAACGTGACATTGAAGGACAACGTCGCTGTCTATCGGTGCTGCTACCAGTTGATTCGTTACTTTTATAACAGGTTGGACTGAAACAGGTACATTCTGAATATTACATTGGACAGAAACAGGTACATTCTGAACATTACATTGGACAGAAACAGATACATTTTTTATAATGTGATGGACTGAAGCGGATAAATTTTTTATATTACATTGGACTGAAACAGATATATTTCCTATGTACATTGGACCGAAGCTGATACACTTTCTACAGTCCCTGGCCATCGAAGGACCGCAGAAAATTTTACTTTTATGGCTATAACATTATGTCGTATATGGAAAATTGTCTTAGGTCATGCAAAATTATTACTAAATACGTTGATAACATATACATAGCGATTTGTTATCGTGATAATAAATTGTGTGGGTGACGAGCGATTAAGGGTCGTGCGAGCGTTTACGTTAGGCTCGAGTATCGATAGCGCGTCAGGTGAAATTTGAATGCCATAGAAAATGTCTGCCTACTCAAAAGACTAGTTTACAACTCTCCAACCACATTATCTGAATTGAAAAGAATTATAGATATTTGGGAAAATAATGAAGATATAAAGCATGTGATATATACAGAGCATGCCGGAAGCTGTGACCAAAGCAAAGGGTGGAAATACAAGATATTAACGTGTGATAATAATGTTATGTACAGTAGTAGTGTATCATGGTAGCTAATAAATTGTATCATTAACATGATATAATTTATTAATTTTGCGGCCTTTTAATTTTACGGAAAACGCGAAAAATGCTGAAAATAGTGGTTCTAATTCGATGGCTGGGGACTGTATATCACATTGGATCGAAACAGTAAGTATAATTTCAATAATTATGTCCACAATAATGCATTACTACTGTCTTACAATCTATACGTTCTTTGAAATTTTTACGTGCATCTCGTACATAAGAACAGCAAATTTCCAAGGAATTTATACGTATACGTACAATGAACGTCGACGGAATAACGTTTAATGACGGTTGGAGGTACGTTGTTGCTGGCTATGCAGAGATACGTGCCCATTTCTTGTCGAAGGACTCCGGACAATTCAAGAGTTTCTCCCACGTAAGTTTTTAACGCTGGAAAATTAAATATTAAACGGTTAGTAGTCGTTTTGTTCTTTATTTCTGCACTTTTCTTATTTTTAAACGATGTACATTCCTGATATACGTCGTTTAATTTGACGATGGCTGTTATAGAGAGCTTCTAATATGCTGCATTTGAGGGTTTGCAAATTTATACATTTCTATTTTTCTCAATTCGATAACTCGAAAGTCTAAAAATCTGTTAAGTTCTAATTTGGAGAAACTGAACTGTATAAGTCATAAATTAAAAATTTGTAAATCTGTATGTTTGTATATTCTAAAATTTGCAGTTTTCAAAATATACAAGTCCTTAAAAACTTGAATATTATAATTCAAAAGATGTGAACAGTCGAATGCTCGAAAACTTGAAATCATGAAAAATAGAAAGATGGTTGAATTTCCGCCATATTTAATTTTTTAAGAATGGTCCACTTCATTGTAGAAAACGTAGATTAACAAAAGACTAGTAGACAATGGTGTATCTTACATCGTTTTTGTCCATCTTCTCTAAGAGTAATGTTCCGACCATCTATAATAATGTTATGTACAGTAGTAGTGTATCATGGTAGCTAATAAATTGTATCATTAACATGATATAATTTATTAATTTTGCGGCCTTTTAATTTTACGGAAAACGCGAAAAATGCTGAAAATAGTGGTTCTAATTCGATGGCTGGGGACTGTATATCACATTGGATCGAAACAGTAAGTATAATTTCAATAATTATGTCCACAATAATGCATTACTACTGTCTTACAATCTATACGTTCTTTGAAATTTTTACGTGCATCTCGTACATAAGAACAGCAAATTTCCAAGGAATTTATACGTATACGTACAATGAACGTCGACGGAATAACGTTTAATGACGGTTGGAGGTACGTTGTTGCTGGCTATGCAGAGATACGTGCCCATTTCTTGTCGAAGGACTCCGGACAATTCAAGAGTTTCTCCCACGTAAGTTTTTAACGCTGGAAAATTAAATATTAAACGGTTAGTAGTCGTTTTGTTCTTTATTTCTGCACTTTTCTTATTTTTAAACGATGTACATTCCTGATATACGTCGTTTAATTTGACGATGGCTGTTATAGAGAGCTTCTAATATGCTGCATTTGAGGGTTTGCAAATTTATACATTTCTATTTTTCTCAATTCGATAACTCGAAAGTCTAAAAATCTGTTAAGTTCTAATTTGGAGAAACTGAACTGTATAAGTCATAAATTAAAAATTTGTAAATCTGTATGTTTGTATATTCTAAAATTTGCAGTTTTCAAAATATACAAGTCCTTAAAAACTTGAATATTATAATTCAAAAGATGTGAACAGTCGAATGCTCGAAAACTTGAAATCATGAAAAATAGAAAGATGGTTGAATTTCCGCCATATTTAATTTTTTAAGAATGGTCCACTTCATTGTAGAAAACGTAGATTAACAAAAGACTAGTAGACAATGGTGTATCTTACATCGTTTTTGTCCATCTTCTCTAAGAGTAATGTTCCGACCATCTTCTCTTTTCCATGTGACGGTAGGTTTCGGTGAACCAGTCGCGACGCACCTTAACCTCACATTTCCACCTTCATGGGTCACCATTCCCTCCGCAGACTCATCGTCCATGATATCTGGTGGTATCACGACTTCCATATAACCGTTCTAAAAGTCAAACAGTTCAATCATACTTTACATATCATTTTATTCATCGATATAAGTCACGTGTTACATCCAATAACTTAACCCTTTGCACTCCTTAATTTTTACCTACGAACTTTTCAATTTACAACATTTATCAAGAATTCAAAACACGTATTAAATGATATTTTTATTAACATATTACTCGATTTACAGAAGTGAAAATGTGTATATTCAACCAATCTATTTATCTAAATTATTTATAAAGTCCAACAGAAATATCGAACCACGCACGACATAGGAGTGCAAAGTGTTAAATATAAATAATTATTTATCGATATTTACCTGACTACGCATGGGTTCCGTGTTCACCTGGCACATGTAAGCACCGGAATCGTTCTTTTGAACGTTCGACACGTGCAATTTCCACGTGTTGTGTCCATTATGCGTGACGGACAGTCGTGGATTATGTGCCACCAAGTGAGTGTGAATTGCCAAGATCGCTCGGGAATCGGATTTTATCCAAGCGACCTAAAATAAAAGTAGAACCTCACAGGTCGCAATAGAACCAACGACTCGATCAAAAAATTTATTTACACAAAACTATTTGAATGTTCGGCAACCAATATTTGCCTAACTGAATATCTTCTATTTTCCAGTTAAAAAATCAGTAAAAATTCGAGGCAAATATGAATGAATATTAAAAAGTAGTTAAACAAACTTTATTTAATAAATCCTTAAATCAGTATTTGGTTAATTAAAGACTCATTATTTTCCAGTAAAAAAAACTTGTAAAATGTTATTACAATATGTGTCTATATGCACAGAGTTTTGAAAGTAAATGGTCAATAAACTAATAGATACTGAATGTTAAAGATTCTAATAGAATTTATCTTTATTATTAAATAGAATAAATGCTGTTTTATAATAATTCTATGTGACCAGCATATCTGTCAATTTTCGATTAGAAGTTTTGTATGTATCAACTTAATATATCCACAATAAACCATTTCACGTGCACAGTAAAGGATTATTGTATATAAAGTTATTTAACAATCTTACCTTATACGACTGTAAATGATTAACGACGCAGGTAAAGAATACGTCGCGACCCTGAATCACCGTGTGGTTCTCCAAAGGAGCTAAAAATTCTGGCAGTGGTTCTGGAGTTATTTGACCTGAAGAAAATCAAAATATAATACAGAAGGTTAATTTTATAGTATAACGTATAAGTCTGATTGTGAGACTCTTTATCATCAAAGACCATGGTGATGAACACAGTATAAACACAGTTTCTTTCTTTAACTCTTTGCACTATTTTGAGTCCTCTTAAAATAAAGTTTATAGTTTTCAGGATAAAAGAGCTTTTCCTATTTTCAATATTTAAATAGAATAAGGTCTCACCTTCCAAGAAACCACACCTTGTTTCCATATCAGAAACCCAAGACTTCCACAACGAAATTCTAATTCATCCGCATCCAAATAAAAAATAACAACACACGAATAAAATAGTAGCCCACATTGCAAATTCCTCAGATTTCATTTTCCCAAAATCCCAAATTCCACAAATCCCCAATTCCACAAATCTCCAATTCCACAAATCCCCAATTCCACAAATCTCCAATTCCACAAATCCCCAATTCCACAAATCTCCAATTCCACAAATCCTCAATTCCACAAATCCCAAATTCCACAAATCCTAAATTCCCCAAATTCCAAATTCCACAAATCCCCAATTCCATAAGTCCTCAATTCCACAAATCCCAAATACCCCAAATCCCAAATCCGCCAAATCCCAAATTCTACAAATCCCAAATTCCACAATTCCCAAATTCCACAAATCCCAAATTCCACAAATCCCAAATTCCACAAATCCCCAATTCCAGAAATCCCCAATTCCACGAATCCCCAATTCCACGAATCCCAAATTCCACGAATCCCCAATTCCACGAATCCCAAATTCCACGAATCCTCAATTCCACGAATCCCAAATACCCCAAATCCCCCCCAAATCCCAAATACCCCAAATCCCAAATACCCCAAATCCCAAATACCCCAAATCCCAAATACCCCAAATCCCAAATACCCCAAATCCCAAATACCCCAAATCCCAAATACCCCAAATCCCAAATACCCCAAATCCCAAATACCCCAAATCCCAAATACCCCAAATCCCAAATACCCCAAATCCCAAATACCCCAAATCCCAAATACCCCAAATCCCAAATACCCCAAATCCCAAATACCCCAAATCCCAAATACCCCAAATCCTAATTTCCAACAGTCTAAATTTTAAAATCCCTAAATTTCCAGAGTTCTAAATTTCTAAATCTCCAAACGATTCAAAGAATCAAGACTCCTCTTAAAGTTCCTCAAGCCACACCTTGTTTCCATATCAGAAACCCAACACTTCCATCACGAAATTCTAATTCATCCCCATCCAAATAAAAAATAACAACACCCGAATAAAATAGTAGTAAAGTTTCCCTGCCCCCCGAGCTTTTACGATCGAATAAATCTGAGAGGCAGAGGCGAGGACCGGTGAGGTTCATATTTTCCCCGATCGATTTAAAAGCATCGGGAAAAAATTGAACCGCCAAATTGAGAAAAGGAAACAAACAAGCGTCGAACGAAAAAGGCCGAAATAAGCGTCGCCGTATTTGCGTATCGTATCGGATTGAGAAAAGGAAAAAGAATCGAGCTTCATGAGCAGAGTTTTCTGAAAGGGTCGAGATTACCTTTGGCCGACAACGAGGGACCACGCGACGAGGAAATTACGTCTACTTCCGTGCTGGCGAGTAGGTCAAATATCTATCCGGCTTTTCAGATCACAGAAGCTCCGTGCTAACTCGGAAAATTCCACGGATTCCGCTACTAGAAAGCAAAGATTGGCTCGGCACTCGGGAAAAGACAAAGTATGGAAGTTGCATCACGCATCTACGAGCCACGGAATCTTTTCCGTAAATATACGGATCCTAGCCACCGGCTATATATGGGATACTCGCGAATATATCGTTTACGAGCTCCGTAAACGGAACAAACTCACGATTATTTATTGAACCCGCAGGTACGACGTTATACAGCATCCCACTATGATAATCCACATTTTACTGTTTACAATTTTTTTTCATTTTTTTTTTTTTACTGCATGGAAGTATTATTTGTTTAAATTGTTTGTCTAGTTATTTATGTTTAGTTCAAATAACGGAGGAATTTGTGTAACAGCTTGGATGTTGGGAAAATGTGCTTATTTATGATTTGTTGTGTTGTTTGTATAGGGGTGAGTTTTATTTGAATTTATCGCTTATTAAGAATTTATCTTACATTATTAAAAATTTGTTTTATAGTATTCAGGTGTTATTTCATATTGTTATAGTTAGTTTTTGTATTATTGAGAATTTGTTTTATGTTATGAAGGATTTGTCTTATATTATTAAGAGTATGTTTTATATTAATAAGAGCTTGACTTACATTGTAAAAATTTTTCTTTAATAATATTGAAAATTTGTGCTATTTTATTTAGTATTTGTCTTATATTATTAAGACATTGTCTTACATTAATAAAAAATTTATCATGCATTATTTACAATTTGTCTTGTACTCTCAAAAATTTTCTTTAATTTATGAAAAGTTTGTCTTGTATCATTAAAAATATCAGTTAGAAATAATCATATTAACTACCTGAAATTATAAATAATAAATAAAATAAAACATTGTGAAAATATTTGGTAACATTTGTTAAAATAAAAATATTATTTAATCAAAATTTCAATTGCTTCAATGTGATATAAAACATTAATTTATTAAATGTTCTTATAATCGGATTTTTTGAATAAGAGGTCACCTTTGAATCTTTAAAATATCGACACTTCTGTCATCTTGTAGTATCAAGAATAAAATACAATTGATATCAATACGAAATTTAATTTCTGGAGAGACCTAACAGTGAATAATATATTTCAAAACATCGATAAAACTTAAATCAATATATACATTCTTCATTTTGATAAAAAACGAATATATATATTCTTAATCTCAATAAAAAATGACTACATGTATTAATTTTTAATTTTGAGAAAAATTAATTAACTTGAGAAAAATAAATACACACATTAATTCTTAACCTTAAAAAATATGAATACTGATGTTAATGATTTAAATAAAAAATCAACACAATTTCAAGAGAAGCATCACAATAAAAATAAAATTAATTTACAGTGAGTTCAAAAAAAAAGAAATTTAATGAAAAGAATTACAACAAATGTAACAAAAGAAACATTACACTCTATTAAATTTAAAAAAGAAATTAAAATGAAAGCATTACAAAAACAATAAGAAAAGGAATTTGCAATGAGTTGAAAAAAGAAATTCAAAAAAAATCATCACAATAAATTTTACAATTCAAGAAGACACTGAATGGTTGAAACGACCTTTGATAATTTCAGTGTTAAAGCTATATTTTCGCAGCGGTTATCAAATCTCAAAGACAAAGAAAGAAATTCCGTAGAAATTCCGACGATAAGAAAAGTCACTTACATGAGCAAAGCTGCAGAACCGAGGTGAAGAGGGCTGCGAGTTTCCGCGCTGCCATGAGAATCAGCCTCTTTCGCTATAACGCTTCGGGACACTGGTTAGCTATCTGCAAGCAAAGAGAACCAGATTTACCTTATTTTCTCTACAGCGATAAAAGTAACAAAAGTAATAAAATTGTACAAGATATTTCAAATGTACTCTCTAGAGTGTTGGTAGCGTTTAGTTACATGACCTACTTATTATGCATGTCGCGTTACGTCAAAACGCCTGCAGAATGTACTCGGATTTCTTTCGGATTAATAAAAGTGAAATTTGGGGTTTCAAATATTTGTGAAAATATGAGAGGAATACTATCGGTATTTTATTTAAAGATGGACTAATTTGTTTGTATATAATTAGACGCTAAATACGCGAATATGGAAGTTTCTTTTTGTATTGAGGTTAATTCGGTATACTTATACAACCCTAACTTAAAGAACTGAAATAACTTATACAACCCTAACTTCCAAATTACAATAATTTAAATTTAATCAATTAATAGTTCAAATTATTCAGATCTTCAAATTTCTAAACTTTCAAATTTTCAAGTTTTGTTCTCAGATTTAAATTTCTGAATTATGAAATTATTAAACTGAAAACTTATCCAACCCTTATCCCCAAATTACTAAATTTCCACTCTGCCCAGTTCCTCAAGCTCCCACCCTAAAAACTGACGCCTTATTTCTCAAATTCCCAAACTTACAAATTCCCAACTTCCGCGCAAACATCCGCCATATTGTACACGGCAAGCATCGTATCCGATTACCTAATCCCAGCAGAGAGCTCGGACCCGATTATTCGTCCACATATCCGTCTCTGAAATCAGAATTCGGGTCGTAAAGCACTTCGTATCCCCTGTCAAAATAAAAGCTTGACGAAAAAGCCACGAATCCTCTGGTTCGTGGTGGACGATGTCTGTTTCTTTCACGTCGCGAAATAAATCGCGCGAAAGCATATTTCGCGTAAAGCGCAAAACGAAGAAAACAAACGGTGGAAACGTTGAACGTATCTCCGGATGAAATTTCATCGGTTTTCGGCTATATCAAAGTTACGTAAATTGACAGCGCACGCGTGCTTGGTCAAGAGAAAAAGGGAACGCGTACGTTCCAATAAGCAATACCCGTATCGCCTGACCGAATAACCACCAGCTAACCTGTCAGAAGCAGCCATCGACGTCCAACTCCACGAAACCTACTGCTGCTCTTACTCGCAGAGCAGCTGAGCGAAAATACTTTTGTTTTTCTTCGCTTTCGTAGAATTTATCAAACGGTTAACGGTCGTTCGATCTTGCTCGATAGATTAATTCTGCACGGTTGCACGGTTGCGAGCCTGCGCTATGATCTTTCGATTTCACACTTTGACTGCTGTCTTACGATCATTTTTACTGGATCGTTTAATAATTATTCACGGTGTTAAATTTTTGAATTTCAACTTTTGAAATTTCTGAATTGTGACTGAATTCCTAGATTACCAAATATAGACAATAAGTCTTCATTTTTGAATTTCTGAGATAGCAAATTATGAACTTGTTCAATCTTGATTCTCAAGTTATTAAGGTACAAACTTTTCCACCCCTAATTCTAAAATAAGCAAACCATGAGCTTTTGCAAACCTAACCCCCGAATTACTACGTTACAATAATTTATATTTAAACATTTAATAGTTTAAATTATTCGAAGTTTTAATTTTCCAATCTTTCAAATTTTTAAGTTTTGAAAGTTAAAAATTTAAATTTCTGAATTATGGCTGCACAAATTTTTCGAGTTGAACTCCTGAATCATCAAATCTCTCTAAGTCTTTATTTATTAATTTCTAAGATACAAAATTACGAACTTGTTCAATCTTCATTCTTAAATTATTAAACTACAAACTTTTCCACCCCTAATTATAAAATAAGCAAAACACGAACTTTCCCAAGTCTAGCACTCGAATTACCACATTACAATAATTTAAATTTGACCATTCAATAATTTAAAGTTTAAATTATTCAGAGCTTCAAATTTAAAAACTTCCAAATTTTCAAGTTTAAATTTCTGAATTATGACTCCACAAGTTTCTCAATATAAATTTCACAAGCTTTTATTTTCAAATTTTTAATAGATAGAAGTAAATTTATAGAAGCTTAAAAGATAAATTGAATAGAAACTTGAAGAGATAAACTTTTAGAAACTTAAATAACCCTAATTCTTAAATTACCAAACCACAATCTTCTCCTTCTTTAATTCTTAAATGACTAAACAATAAACCTTCCCAGCTCAAACTCCCAAATTACTTAATTATTATATTTAATAACTTAAATTACTGTAATTTGGTAATTGATAATTTAATAATTATTAAATTTAATAATTTGAATTCCCTCACGAATTAGTCTCGCCACTAAACTGCAGGGGGTTAATTTAATAACGTAAATCATTAAATTTATTATAAATTATTTATTTGAATTTAACAATGAATCCTAGCAGTATAATTTACGTGTTAGGTGCGTCTGTCAGAACCAGCTATTCGCATCTACAATATTAACCCCTTTGCTTATAACGTCGAGTCAGATTCCTGACGCAAGTTACACTTCAAATGTGTCAAACATGAATCTTATTTATACCAGGAGTTTTCAGTTCAATATCGATTATAATTTATACAACCAAAGATCGCTAAATGTATATCAATATACTTAAGCTAATTTACGTATTATCCCTTATTTATTTTGTTATGCGTGAAAACCTCATATGAAGGTTTTAATAAAAATTTATTTCGATTACCTGCAATATTAATTTTTAACAACATTATTGTTATGACGGATCACGTTTTTGAACTGCTGAAGACCGGTCCTAAATTTCTAAATTTTCATACTCAGGTACAAATTTCTAAATTTCCATTCTTGTGTACAAATTTCTAAATTTTTATATTGAGCCACAAACTTCTAAATTTTCATACTCAGGTACAAATTTCTAAATTTCCATTCTTGCGTACAAATTTCTAAATTTTTACATTGAGCCACAAACTTCTAAATTTTCATTCTTGTGTACAAATTTCTAAATTTTTACATTGAGCCACAAACTTCTAAATTTTCATTCTTGTGTACAAATTTCTAAATTTTTACATTGAGCCACAAACTTCTAAATTTTCATACTCAGGTACTAATTTCTAAATTTCCATTCTTGTGTACAAATTTCTAAATTTTTACATTGAGCCACAAATTTCTAAATTTTCATACTCAGGTACAAATTTCTAAATTTCCATTCTTGTGTACAAATTTCTAAATTTGCATACTGAGTCATAAATTTCTAAATTTTCATACCTCTATATTGTATGTATTTATTTAATGAAGTAAAGATTTTCCCAGGATAGCACAACAGTAGCCCTGAATTTTACCTATAATTTAAATAAATATTGGCATAGTCGATCGATATCTTTGATCGATCACGTGAAATTTAACTAACACCATTTCTCTTCCTAAATTTTTAAATTAATAAAATTGATTAAATATAAACGCAATCATTTATTAGCTACGGTATAAATTTCTATTATAAATTCCCATATCAGCTGAAATTCCTAAATAGTCCTCCATAAATTTCTAAATACCCAAATTAAAAATTTAAAGACTCATTTCTAAATCCCGAATCGGCAAATACCTAAATTCAGATGACTCGATACATTACAAATCCTAGGTTTAACATCGATGGTGATGGCAAATCCGGAATTAACGAATCGTCGAATTTTCATGTGACGACTCGCGATTGTATCGCCGTTTATTGCCGCTGGTAATTCATACTGTATATTGTATATCGTCGATTTCTAAATCAAGAAACGAATCAATAATGAAACCAACAAAATTTTATTCGTAACCGAAATCGAATACTCTCTATCCATTTTTAATTCCTGTGGAAAAGACTCTTGACGGAAAAACAACTTCTTATCAGTAAGTCCTCTTAAAAACAGGAATCTCTTGGTGTGATAACAGGAATCTTTTGACGGAATAAGGGGAACTGATTAATGGCAATATCTGGTGACAAACAAACTCAGGACTAACTTTCGGAACCTCCGGAAAGCTGATACGCTTCGGCGGTACTTGTTTATCTTGTTTTGGTCAGAGACAAGATGGTTCCCAAAAATGTGCAAAATTTCGTAATTCTAGCTGTTTCAAAAAGCAATATTTTGTCGTACTTTTTTCAGAGACATTCTTTAGACTATACTCGAGAGTCGTATAGAGATTTCGCAATTTCGCTTTGAAAACTTTTTAAAACATAACGAACGAAACCGTATAGAAACATTTTTAAAAAAGTTTTTAGAGCGAAATTGCAAAATCTCTATACTCAAGTATAGTCTAAAGAATATCTCTGAAAAGTACGACAAAATATTGCTTTTTGAAACTACTAGAATTACGAAATTTTTTGAAACATTTTGTCTCTCCTGACCGAAAAGATAAATACCGAAGGATTTTAATTTTTAAGGTACAAAAAATTAATCCTGAATTGTTTGTCACAAGAGTTGACTCTTCAAGTGAATTTAAAAAGCTCGCAAGCAGTACAGGATTACGTTACTTGGAACATTCTGGCAGAAATCCGTTTCACCGAGGTCAACTGACAGAATGACGAGGGACGCGGCGATAAAGGAAACGCGTTAACGGAAGTAAACCCGTGCAACCGAATCACGTTCTGCCCTTCGACTTTTCGTGAATCCCGTCACCAATCTGCTCTATGAGAACAAAGGAATATTTTGCGAGCGAAATCCATTATCCGTTGGTTCGACGACCGAAAATTCCGGAGGGTCTAACGTTTCACGCGTTTATTCTCTCCTCTGTTCTTCTCTTCCAGATCATCGACACGAGAAATTATCTCTGGGCTGTATTAAACAATTTTCTACAATTCGAAATTTAAAAGGATTTTATATATTTAGGGAATTTGAAATGTGGGAACAATTTGAAATTTAAAAGGATTTTATATATTTAGATGTTTGAATTTTTATGTAGTTGGCAAATTTCAAATTTAGATATGTAGTGATGTAGGTGTATTTTGATGTACGATCAAGTTTTTTAAATTTGTAAGTTGGTAATTTCAAAATGCACATTTT